CAGAATCTGACTATAACTCTGCCGTAATCCCTGGCTAACTGCATACACGGGCTGGTAGAAAGGGACACCCTAATGGACTTATTGAAAAAGCAGTCAAATCAGTGAAGAGTCGATCCTTGAAAGAAAAAAATTATGCTGTAGCAGATTTGTAACTTCAGTGTCGTTTTTTTTTTTGTTGTTGTTGTTGTTGTTGTTGTTGTTGTTTTTGATTGAGTGCATTCCCAAACCTGATAAGTTAAAACCTTAATGGCTTGAAATGTCAAAGCAAAGGTCTCAGGACTGGCAGAGCAGCTGGAAATTTAGGAGAATCTCAAGGTGGATGGATCCTCAAATCTTAGTATAAACTGGCCAATTCCTTGGTTGAATGCTAAACTCTATTAGCTTAAGGGACCAGGCTAGAAAAGCAGCAACTGGAAGTTGAAAAAAATTAAGCGCTCATTCAGCTACTACCCACTGCTGGCAACACAGAGTTTGTAGCTTGAGTCCAGGAATGTTTACTGCATGCTATAGTATAAAAAGATAATAATCTTCAGAAGAATAAAAGAAACTAGAGTCAATAACATATTATCTACAATGTTTAATTTCTAATCAAATATTACCAAACATGTAACAGAACAGGAAAGTATTACCCATATTCAGGAAAAAAAGTCATTCTATAGTAACTTACTCTAAATGGGGCCAAATGTTGGATTTACCAAATATTTTAAACCAGAAATTATAAACATGCTCAAAGAAGTAAAGGGGAACATGGTTTCAATGATGAGCAAACAGGGAGTCTCAGGAAATGGAAACTATAAAAAGTACAAATGAAAATTCTAGAGCTGAAAAATATGACAAAAATATTAGATGATAAGCATAATAGCAGACTACAAATGATAGAAGAAAAAAAATCAGTGAACTTCAGGATACATCAATGAAATAGTCTAATCTGAAGAACCGCAAAAGAAAATTGAAGAGAATTAAACAGGAACTTAAAGACCTCTGGGATAACACCATATGTGTAATTGGAGCCCTACACTCTAAGGAAAGGAGAGAATGGAATTGAAAAAAAAAATTTTTTTAAACAAAATAATGGTTAAAAATAACCTAAATTTGGTAAAAAATCATAACTTACAGATTCAAGAAGTTCAATGGGCCCTAAGGAAAAAGAGGTACAAAGAAACCACACTTAGGTACATCTTAGTCAAACCATTGAAAACCAGAACTGCACAATACACAAAGGATCATTTATTTTATATATATATATGCAATATGATATATATAAATATTATGTATATAGGTCTTATACTTCAATTAAAATATCACAGTGCAAATAAAGAAAAGAAATAAAGAAATAAAACGAAATAAAAAAATGGACAGTGAAACATGAAAACAAAGCTCAATTTTTAAAAAGTCCAATAAAATCGGTAAATCTCTAGTTAAACTGATCAGAGAGGAAAAAAAAGCAAATTATGAATATCGAAAATGAAAGAATGGACATCACTGGAGATCCTAAGACATTAAAGGATGATGGAAGATAATTATCAACAACTTTGTGCCAATAAATTTGACAATTTAATTAAAACAAATGAATAACAAACATCAAAGATAAATTACAAACAACTCAGGAAATAAAATGTGAGTAGCTCAATATCAACTAAGGAAATTGAATTTGTTAACTAAAATTTTCAAAGTAAAACACATGCCTTTATTGGTGAATTCTATCCAACATTAAAGAAGAATTATATCAATACTAGGCAGTAATGTGTTCACTCTTTCAGACAACAGAAGAGTGTACACATTACAAATCATTTTATGCAGTCGGTATTAACTAGATGAAGACATTACAAGAAAAGGAAACCACAGAGCAATATCCCTAAAGAGCATAGATGTAAAAACCCTCAATAAAATATTAATGAATCAAATCCAGTCATATATACAGAGAATATACCATGACCAAATAGTGTTTATTTTGGGAATCCAAGTTGTTTTAACACCGAAAAAGCAATATGATCTACCATAGAATAGAATAAAAAAGAAAACACCATGTGATCATCTCAAAAGATAGCGAAAACATTTGAAAACACTTTATAAACACATTCCTGATAAAAACTCTCAGTAAACTAGGGATAGAAGGGAACTTCCCTAACCTGAGTATACCAAAAACAAAAGAAAACAAAACAAAAAAACCTACAGCTAACTTCATACTTAGTGTTGAAACCTGAATGCTAATAGATTTAACAAAAAATATATAAATCTGTATAGGGAACACTGTAAGATATTATAGAGAGAAATTAAAGAAGACCTAAATAGAGATATCATATTCATGTATTAGAAAGCTCAACATTAAAGTGTCAAATTTCTCCAAATTAAACTATAGATTTAATGCAAAACAAATTAATATCCCAATTTTTGGAGAAATTGACAAGCTCATTCTAAAATCTATATAAAAATGCAAAGGCCTAGACTAGCTAAAATAACTGAATAAACAAAGCTGGAAGATTTATGCAACCTGATTTAAAGACTATAGTATATAAGACATGAAAGAAAATTGTTTTAGCTCTCCTATGTCTTTTGCATTTCTAAATTTAAAAGACTGATATATAAGTAAGTATGCAAAGCAGCTAAAATTCTCATATATTGCTGGTAGAAATATGAAATGGTACAATGGTCTGGATATTTCTTATATAGTCAAACATACACTTACTTACCTTGTGACTTGTCAAATCTCCCCTTAGGTATTTACTCAAGTCAAATCTCCCCTTAGGTAGTTACTCAAGTGAAATGAAAATGTGTTCACACTAACAATTATACTCAAATATTCATAATAGCTTTACTCATAATATCGAAAGCTGAAAACAATCCAGATTTCCATTTGTTAGAGAAAAATAAATAAATTGTAGTATATCCATACAATGGAGTACCACTCAGTAATAAAAGGAACCAACTACTGATACATGCAACAACACAGATGGATCTCAAGAACGTTATGACAAATGAAAGAAGTCAGATACAACAGTATGATTCTATTTACACAAAATTCTAGAGCGGCTAAAACGAAGGTATTGAGACAAAAACCTCAGGGTGGGCTAGGGTTTGGGGGATTGATTACATATGGGCATGAGGGAATTTTTCAGGTGATGGAAATGTTCTATATTTTTATTGGCGTGGTAATTATACAGTAGTACCCATTTGTCAAAACCTATGTAATTGGACACTTAATATTCGTGCATTTTATTATATGTAAATTTATATCAAACAAATTTATATCGAACAAATTCCTATAGGCATTAGGATAAATCTGAAAGAAAAAAGGTCCCGTAACATCCAACACCTAAACTTACTTCTCCAGCTTTATCTTGAGCCTGTCTCTGCCTCACTCTGGTCCTGCCATGTTGGGCTTCTCTCATTCATTAGAACACATTTTGCTTTCTTCCAGCTCTTTTTTTAAAAAATTTATTTATTTTAATTAGTTTCAAGTGTACAGTACATTGCTTCGACATTTATATAGTTTATAAAATGGTCCCCCTAATTGCTCCTTCTCTCCTCTGGTTTTCCACCTAGCCAATATATTAATGCTAACTGCATTCCCTATGCCATGCTCCGCATCCCCATGACCATCTATCAACTACTAATTTGTACTTCTTAAACCCTTTACCCCATTCTCCAAGCCCTCTAATCCCCACTCCCCTCTGTCTGTCATCAAATTGTCTACTATATTTGTGAGTCTGTTTTTGATTAGTTTGTTCTTTTTGTTCCTTAGATTCCACGTATAAGTGAAATCATATGGTATTTATCTTTCTCTCTCTGACTTATTTCACTCAGCTCTTGATCTTGGTAGCTCTTCTTTCCTCACATGCTTCCTCTTCCCTCAACCCTTATTTATCCTTTAGTTCTTCTTTAAGAAAGCCATCCTCAAAACCTTGGATGAGGCTGAGACCCTTGATATATGATGCTCCAAAGGCACCACTACCTTTTCACTTCACTTTACGTTATAATAATTTACTTTATTATTGATAATCATGTATAAAGTATGTTTTCCTTCTCTAGCTTAGAAGCTCCATAAAGTCAGGGATATCTATTTTTTCTACCATTCTTCTACCAGTGCCTGATATATAAAAAATTTTCATGTATTTGCTGAGAAATCAAGCAAGTGAAAAAATTAACAAAATAAAAATCTAAAAGTCCTAAGTAAAGTATTAGCATATTAAATTTAGCAATATATTAAAAATAATACATAATTTTAAAGTAGGGTTTATTTTAGGAAATAAGGGTAGCTTAGTATTTGAAAATGTATTATATAATTATTACATTAATATATCAATGGAGATAAATTATCTCCATACATGGGAAAGGAATTAGATGAAGTTTAACACATCTCCCAATTAAAAATATACCTTTAGTGAACTAGAGAAAGAATGCTTTAACATGATAAATATTTGAAACTAACATTGTACCTAGTAGTGAAACTCTGGAGATAAGGATACTCCTTACCATCACTAGCAGGCAATATTATTCTAGAAACATTAGAAACATTAAACCAATGCAGTAAGACCA